CTAGGAGGTGCCTATCCTCTTAGAAGGAAGCACAATGGACATAGTGAGGTATAAGTGCCGTGGGGTAACCCACTCTCCACACGTCACATATATAGGAGTACTGTAGGTAGCTGTAAATGCATTTCGATTGCATCCTGATTGTAGAGACTTAGTTCCTCGGAGTGAATTTGTCATATATTTTAATTATTGTTTTGTATTATTTTTTATTTACTGTTTTAATCCGAATTAATTGAAAAAGAAATAAAAAACAAAAAAAGACTATGAATTTAAACGATGCATAATACGTAGGCGTAAAACACATCATTAGAGGTAATACTGATTTAGAAATTTGAAATATAAAACATTTACAGCCAGATGCAAGAACCGTTCAATGAAATTTACGAACAATGCAATGTATTATTCTCAAATAACAAATATCTTAAAACTATCTAATTTCTAATTAATAGTTAGTTAAATACAACTACGTACTTTACTGCAATTTTCACAAAACGCTAATAATAATATACCAAACGTTGCTCTTCATAAATTGACAGCATGTTTGACGTTAAACCACCTCTAGAACACTGAGAAAACTTGGCAGTTTTTTGTCCACGAATTGCCCATTTAGTTTCGCTTCTTGGGTAGGTATTCTTTGATAGAGAATAATGAAAAATATAATCTGTTATTACAATTGTCAAAAAATAATAAAAAATTGAAGTAAAATGCCTTCTAAAATAGTTCTAACGCACAACTTAAATTTGGCAGCGGTGCTCCGTGAACCTATGAGATGTGAATGATTCAAGAATACCGAATACGATGACCGAGAGAACAAATTGGTGATAGGACACTTCACATCCCACAATGGAATGTTCACATCGTTCAACTTGGAGAATAGGGCCCCTGGAAATAAAAATATATAAATAATGAAAGAAGAGGAGAAGAGATATACTAGGGGTTTCTAATTATATGAAACATACAGAGGTTCTAACAAACCTAAGTACATATGGTTTTAGGTTTTTCCTATGTTTTTTTATTTATTTGATTTTTTATTTCCATTAATTTCTTTTTCAGAAACTTTATTTTAGTATTATATTAATATTCAGAGTTTTCAACTATAGTATTATACAGGGATTTCATTTCAAAACTAGCCACCCAAAATAACTTTTAAATTATCTTTAAAACAAAAAAACAAAAAACACATTAATTTATATTTACGGGGGGACACATTTTACAAGTATCTGTAACCGTGCAGTTTCATCCCCTAAGCGGTGGTGAATATCACTTCTAAAATTTTAAATAGAAAGGGGTATCATGTGATAGCTTTTCTTAAAGGTCTCTTTTTTCCAATCTTTTAGCACATCATTTTTTTAAATCGGATTAATTTTTCACCAAGTTATGCCATTTTAACCTTTTAAATTAAAATAATTATTATTTACATTGTATTTACATTATTAATATTTGATTTGCGTAAGAATTACATTGTACTTCAAATCAAATATCAAATCAAATATATTACGTACCAGATTACAAGTTTTTTTTTTATCCATGGAGGGGATCGTACCTAGGCATATATGCCTGTCTTGTGTGATCCCTTCCATAAAAAAATACAATAATAAATTGTTTTAAAAGTACAAAAAAAAATTAAAAAGAAAAACGACTCAGTAATAGGAGTAATAGGAAACTAAAGCAAGACAGGTCCAAAAAGTGAGATAGGTTTAAATCTTTCTCCTGTAGTATAGTTAAACAGAAGTTAACGCTAAAAAATTGTAAAAAATACTTGAAAAGACACCAGAAATAATGTACGTTATTTGCAGTTTTATTTAAAATATTTCAAACATATCTGGGGAAGTTTGGATCAATTCCTTGATTTCAGTTTTAAATTTAGTTAATTTAGTTATTTGTTTCGTTGATAAAGGGAGAAGATTAAACAATTTGGGGCCAAAATAAAAGAAAGATCTTTGTGTTACCGTTTTTTGAAATAGGTCTACATTCAAATTTAAATTTGTAGTTGCTCTGGTTTTTGATGAAACCTTGTGTAGTTTATCCTGATCTCTGTATACCCTTTGAAGACACTGATATGTATATAATTGTCTTAAAGTAAAAATGTTCAATTCTTGATATAGTAGTTGAGTTGAATATAGTCTATCCTTTTTAAATAATATTTTAATTAATGTATTTAATGTAGTTTGCAGATTTTGTAACGTACTTTTAAAAGTACCACCCCATATCGTTATACAATACCTTAAAATTGATTCGGAAAACGAATTATCAATCATAAATAAATTGTTTTTTGAAAGAATATCTCTAATGTTATAAAATTTGGTAAACAAGACTCTTAAGCGTTTTGTAACGTAAGTAACGTGTTCGTTCCATCTTATGTGCTGGTCAATCATTAAACCTAAATATTTTATTGCTACTGTTTTTTCCAAGATGGGACAGTTACATCTAGTATGATTGCATTTAGAGTCATGTAGTTTAACGTCTATTTTAGGTTGATCAGCTGTAGTAGGAGAAAAAGTAATATATTTTGTTTTTTCAATGTTTAGAGTCAATAAACTATAATCTAGATAAATTTTTATTTTTTTTAAGCAAGCTTCTGTATTTAATTTTATTTCATCCCAAGATGTCCCAGTCACTACAAGGGCAGTGTCATCAGCATAACATACAAGTTTTCCTTTAAAATGATTTATGTTGGAGATGCTATTTATGTAAATTAAAAATAGAATTGGACCCAATACTGTCCCCTGTGGTATTCCTATTTGTACTATTGAAGCGGCACTTAATGTATCCCCTATTTTTACTTTTTAGGTTCTATCTGTTAAATAATTTTTAAGTAAATCAAGTCCTGTACCTCTAATGCCATAGTTACTCATTCTAATTAAGAGATCAGAGTGAGGAACCGTATCGAAGGCTTTTGCCAGATCAAGGAAAACCGCTAGGCATTTACTTGATCTATCCAAGGCGCGGATTATCGGTTCAAGTAGATTTAATGTCGCATCTTCAGTACTGGATTTTTTTATGAATCCAAATTGTATTTTCGATAGAACTTTATTTTTGTCTAGGAATTTTATTAATCTGTTTTTGACAGCTTGTTCAAATATTTTTGCAAAATTATTTATATAAAGATACAGATATTGGTCTATAGTTATTCATTTTGCTATGATCCCCAGATTTAAAAATAGGAGTAACTATAGTATGTTTCCATTGACAAGGTATTATTCCACTAGACAAAGAAAGGTTTATAATATGCGATAAGGGAGTCACTAAGATGTTCAAAATGTCCGCCATTGTTAGCAAGGCAATGGTAAAGTCGCAGCTCGAATTCATCCCGCACTTTTTGAAGCGTCTCTGGTGTAATCCGCTCACACTCCTCCACTATTCTACGTCTAAGTTCAGGAATATTGCGATGTTGAGTTTTATACACCACAGTTTTTAGATATCCCCATTAAAAAAGTCAAGGGGCGTTAGGTCGGGTGATCTCGCTGGCCATTCTATAGCGCCCCTTATTCCGATCCATGTATCTGGAAATGTCTCATTAAGCCAATTTCGTACAGGCAAGGCATAATGTGGAGGTGCTCCGTCCTGTTAAAAAAATAGGTTTTCTTCGTCCAGTAACAAATTTCCATCTTGATCTATTTGGTTTTCTAAGGATTCGGTTATAAGAGGATTTATCAGATTTTTTAATAAGTTCATATACAATTCCCAGTTAAATTTTCCTCCATGAAAATAGGACTAATAATTTTATTACTAAGAATTCCGGCCCATACGTTGATTTTCTGAGGATATTGGCTGTGCTCTTCCCGAAAAACATGTGGATTTGTATTGTCCCAGTACCTACAATTATGTTTATTGACAAATCCATTTAAAAAGAAACCTGCCTCGTCAGTAAAACAAATATTTTTAATAAAATTATGGTCTTCATTTGCCCTTTGAGTCATTAATTCGCAAAATTCTAATCTTCTGTCATAATCATCCTCAACAAGCTGTTGTAAAAGCTGTATTTTGTAAGGAAAGAATTTATTTAGCCGTAACGTTTTATGCACAGAGCCAACGGAAATATTTGTTAATCTGGATACTTTTGGTATTGATGTTTAAGGTTCCATGGCAAAATTACCTAAAATCTCAACTTGTGCAGCTTCAGTTAAAACTCTACGATTCCTTACAGTTTTATTGCACACACTTCCAGTTTCTTGAAATTTATTAACTAAATCCAACACATACTGATGCGCAACATTTTTATCGGGATGTCTCTGATTAAAAACACGAGCAGTTCTGCGTGCACAGCGTTGTTCTTCACCATAAATAAAGATTATTTCAATTCTTTCTTGTAAAGAATAAACCATTGTCAAAATTAAATTGTCAGTACACAACGAAACCAATAATCTACTAATAATAAATTGTTTTAATTTACGGTCAAAAATATCTTACGCAAAAAACATTTAAGACTTTTTGCTAACTTGTTTATCTCGGTATTTATACTCATGCATTTTAATTCAATATTTTTCTAGGTTATAACTTGGTGAAAAATTAATCCGAAAAGTTATTTTGGGTGGCTAGTTTTGAAATGAAATCCCTGTATATATGCTCTAATTGAGAGTTAAATAACTCTTCCAAGGTAAAACTTGGCAAGCGTTCCTCCAAATTTTTAAAATATTTTAAAGATCTAAAGTAATTCTGACGAGCATAATTAGTTAAGATTAACATAGCTATAGGTTTTGGAAAATTTGCTTTTTGATTGGGTTTTTTTATTTATGTTCTGATTTGGGTAATTCTGTCAAAAATTTTGGACGTTGGTTGTATAAATAAGTTGTATATATATCTGGAAATTAATTTAAAAGGTTGGCAGCGAAGTCATGTCTTTGTCTGTAGACAAAATCATTAGGTGTGATAAAATTATTGTTAATATACTAAGAGTTTTGTCTGTTTGTGAAATTGGGTCTTGAAAATTTTCAAAATTCGATAACAATTTTGATTTTAAAAATTGCAAGAATTTTTTCTAAATTTGCTTCTCTTCATTACAGCTCTGGGCTATATACTCGCTGATCTAGGTTATGATGTGTGGATGGGCAATGTAAGAGGAAATAGGTATTCTAGAAACCACACCACGTTTTCTCCTAGTTCTAAGGAATTCTGGCAATTTGACTGGCATGAAATTGGAAAAATTGACATTCCAACTATTATTGACTACATCTTGGAGCAAACTCAACAAAGTGATCTTTTCCATATTGGACATTCTCAGGGTAAGTAATTTTATTAATAAAATTATACATAAAAGGTACTTTTTTGGTAAAATTGTATATTACACAACAATAACAGGAATTCCAAATATACAGTGCGTCCATAAAGTAACGCATAAATTCATTATTGGCTAAATGAACAATAAAATTAGGAATTCCCAAAATAGGTCGATTTTTGATTTCAATTTACTATTGTTTTAAATCATAATCTAATATACAGGGTGAACCACTTTCGTGTAATGACGTCATCACCATTTTTTTCAAATGGAACCCCCCCTTTTTTTTCAATTTCCAAATTGCCTTTGCTGAGCTGATTCCAAAAATGTATAATATGTTGCTTCAAATTGGTACAGGGTGGGCAAAAATGCAAAAATTTACTTACAAAGTAATGAAAATAACGAATAAACGTAATAAACACATTAAATGAAATTACGTATTGTTATTACAACTACTTTGATAAACTATCAAGAACATACAGCATTATTCTTAATAATTGTATCTTACAGCTTTTATTAGTGATCCAAGCCCCTGGACTATAAAAATCTTTTTGTTTGGCATTATCTTTTACCAGTTTTTTTTATTTAAACATACCAGTTTTTTTTATTTGACAACACTGTCAAAAACATTGAAGCACAGTTTCGTATTGTTAACGCTGTAGAGAAGGTACGTTCGTGAACTTTTTTTACAAAATGCCTTTAACCGAAAGTGACAGGATTGAAATACTAATGATGATTGGTATTGGCGATAAGATGCGGACTCAACAAGAGGTATGCCGATTATTCCATGAAATGCACCCAGATCGTGAACCTATTTCACAATCTACGGTAAGTAGAATAGAGCGAAAATACAGAGAATTAGGACATGTGAGGGATGCAGCAAGGCAAGGTAGACCAAAAATTGATGAAAATATTCAACAAGACATAATTTTGTCGGCTGTAGAAAATCCACACTGTACAGTGCAAGGATTATCTAGGGATTTTGGTATTGGAAAGTCTTCAGTATCAAACATTTTCAAAAAGGTAAAATACCATCCTTATAAAGTACGTCTCATCCATGAATTGGCTGAAGACGACTTTGACCGAAGAACTGAATTTTGCGAGTATATGATGAACCAAAATAACAATTTCATTGATAACGTTTTATTTTCGGACGAGGCAACGTTTTATTTGAACGGTCATGTTAACCGGCAAAACACCCGTTATTGGTCTGATGAAAATCCACACTGGATGCAAGAGTACCATACGCAAAGACCACAAAAAACTAACGTATGGGCTGGTATTGTGAGAAATACAATTATTGGTCCATATTTTTTCGATGAAAACTTAACAGGAGCATTATATCTGGATTTCCTACAAAATACATTAATTCCTGATCTGATCCAGATTTTTCCTGATATTCAAATACCCACTAATGTAGACCGCAGAATCTGGTTTCAACAGGATAGCGCACCGCCACATTACGCAGTAGCTGTGCGCAATTTTTTAAACACAACTTTTCCACAAAGGTGGATAGGAAGAAGGGGACCAGTGGAATGGCCTGCTAGATCACCTGATCTGAACCCATTAGACTTCTTTTTATGGGGTTATTTAAAATCTAAAGTCTACTGCAACAGACCTGGAAATATCCCTCAACTACAAGACCGAATCAGACAAGAAATACAGAGCATAACACCCGCTATGCTACAGAATGTTAGAGACGAAAGTAATGCCCGGTTCAGTCATTGTCTAACGGTCAATGGAGAACAATTTGAACATTTATTGTAAATTTTCGTTCGTTTGTTTGTTTTTGGAAGTGTATCACATTAATTGCATAACTACATAATTCCATTTAATTTGTTTATTACATTCAGTAACGTATTACTTTCCATAAACAATTTTCATATTTTTTTTGCATTTTTGCCCACCCTGTACCAATTTGAAGCAACATATTATACATTTTTGGAATCAGCTCAGCAAAGGCAATTTGGAAATTGAAAAAAAAGGGGGGGTTCCGTTTGAAAAAAATGGTGATGACGTCATTACACGAAAGTGGTTCACCCTGTATATTAGATTATGATTTGAAACAATAGTAAATTGAAATCAAAAATCGACCTGTTTTGGGAATTCCTAATTTTATTGTTCATTTAGCCAATAATGAATTTATGCGTTACTTTATGGACGCACTGTATAAACTGTGTAATTCCTACCAAAGCGCCAATACCTGCCATTTATTGGGTAAAATAGAGCAAAAAATCCCAACTCGGGACTATTGATGAGAAATAAAATTCCTGGAATTATCAATGATGATATTAAAGTTAGAAAACTTACATAGAATACAATAAAAGTACCCAAATGCAAAACTAACCTTATTTGGGTCACATATAGATACAAAAGAACAGCAATTAAAGATACTTTATTAATAATAATTGGTAAAAAGAAGAATAAAAAGAAGGAAAATGGCTAAAGAAAAGGAATAACAAAACTATAATGGTGTGATCCAGAATAAGCCCAGTATTGGTACATAATCGAAACCTAAATTGCAGAGGAATACATTTTTAAACATACTGATGAACTACAAGATGTGAAAATAAGATTCTGGTAGTTGGTAACGAGGAAATTAACTTAAATTTGAAGGAAAACACAACCGATAAAGATATGGAAATACATAAAAATTCTGAAGCTGTTATCTTAGCGAAGCTTGACGAGAAATCTCACGGCTTACATGTAGGCATTGTAAGAAGTGAAGAATTTGTCTAATAAATTAATTTGTTTCACTGAGGGTTAGCAATCGAAAAGACAATTCAAACTAAAGAAAAGACAAGAAATAGGGCTCTGTACACCGGTGAAAAATATAATCAAATTCGAAGACCGTTACACGTGGATCTTAGTCAACTTAGTTGATGCCAGCTTTGGGAAACAGCTAGTTAAAAATTGTGACCACCTGACAGAATTAAGAAAAGTCAAAGAATTTAACAATAAGTCTTGTCTAGCATATAATTAATTATACAGGCGATGTAAAGCCAATACGACAAGCACTTAGAAGACTCCCATTTGCTAAACAGAAAGAAGTAGCAAATATGATACAAAAAATAAAAATTTTAAAATAAATATTTGTCAAAACCAGTTGTCTAATTTGGACAATTTTTTAGAAATTATTCTTTATAAACTAGTTTTTAATAACTATTTTTTAGAAATTATTTTTAATAAACTATATTTTAGAAGCTATTTTTTAGAGACAATTTTTTAGGAACTGTTCTTTATAAACTATATTTTAGAAACTATTTTTTAGAGACTATTTTTTAGAAACTATTTATAAGTTGAGACACCTTTTGTTTTAGAGTATGTCGTCTAGCTTGGTTTTTTTAATTAGACTTAGTAGCTTTGATAGTGGCCCCTGCATGTAGTTGCATGCGTTTGGCTTTTCTTCTCCCAATGTTAGAACCCTCGTTCCAGCCAGGCAGAGGACGTGAAATTATTTTTCCTCTTCTTCTTCTTCACAAAACCTGCACAAAGTTACTTTTTCTTCTGGATTGATGACACTTTTAAGGCGGCAGTGTCCAGTAAGAAGGCCTACTATTATCCTAACGATTTAACGCTTTTGTTTCAGTGGGTCTTTCGTGAATTTGGCCGATGGTTCCTTGATGAACTGTTTGGCCACCATTCCTGAGACTCTTTTTCGTCAGCCTTTTCGTTGCCCTGATATCCCTCATGGCTAGGGTCACCTTGTTTTGACTACTTAACTTTGCCAAGTCTTCTAGAAAGTCTTTCACCAGTTGTAATTTAATTTCTGGTGAAAGAATTACCTTTAAAGCTGCTTGGCTATCAGAGTATATAGCAATAGTTTGCCTGCTACTTGCTGCTTTATTATTTCTCATGCACAGTGTTGTATGGCTATTAGTTCAGCCTGGAACACTGTTGCATATTTTCCTAAACTAAGCGAAATCGTTGTTTTCGACTTGGATCAATAAATTCCAGCACCGGCTCCTTTTTTTGGTTTTTAAATCGTCTGTGTACCAGACGAGTTCAGCCTGTACGGGAGGTCCCTGTATCAGGATTCTCGGGATGGTATTTGAAATTTGTTTCAAATTTGTATGTGGTTATGGCTCTATCAGTAGGCATAGCTAGAATATTATCCTTTTTTTCTTGCCGATATAGACTTGTGAGGTCGGCGCTATGTAGTTGGCTTATTGGGTTTTGTCCCTACATTAGCCTGTGTATGAAGATGTACACTGGTGTGAGATTTATTAATACCTTCATTGCTGCAGTTGGCGTAGGGCGGACGGCTCCATTAGTTGGCCTATTGCACTTGCCTGCGCAGTTTTGGTTACCCACGCCACTACGCCATAGGTTATCATGGGTCTTATCACCTTTGTATATGGTAATTTTGGGGTTTAGATCCCAGTTTTTCTTACATATTCTTCTACAGCTTACGAGAGCTATTGTAGCTTTGTATGTGAGCTTTTTGAGATGTTGACTCTACGTTAGCCTGCGGACAAATATGACTTCGAGGTATTTGGCTTCTGTGATGAATGAAATAACTATATTGTTTAGTACTAGTGGTCTTAGTCCTGTAATTACCGTTTTTTGTGAATAGTATAACTCTTGTTTTTTGTATGTTAATGGACAATTGTTCCTTTTTGTACCAGTTGTTCACTATGTACTACGAGACTATGCCTGCAATTCGCCCCTTGCTAGGTCATCTGCGTATCTTAGGCCTTCTTTGGACCATGTTTTGAGTAAGTTGTCCACAGAAACTGACGACAGCGTTGGAGATAATATTCCTCCTTGTGGGCAGCCCCGTATAACTTGCTTGTATGGTTGCCTTTCCTAGAATGGATAAAATAAACCTGTTCTCTAGAAAGGCAGCGATCCATTGGCATATTGTAACTGAGACGTTTCTTTGTTCTAGAGCCTTGGTTATTGACCTGGTTAAGGCATTGTTGGAAGCTTCTTCGATATCTAAGAAAGTGACTGTTGCAATTTCTTTGTCATTTTTTGATTTTAAAAAAAGTCTGTTTAGATCGTCCAGCACTAGATTAGTTGACTTTTCTGGATGGTATACATATTGGTCGGGATGGATCGGATTTTTTTTTATTATCGCGTCCCTGATATACCGATCTATAAATATTTCAAGATTTTTAAGTAGGAAGGAGGATAGGCTTATGGGGTGATATGACTTTGCCGTTTGGTCTGTGACCCTACCTTCTGCCATATTGCTGGGATACATCTCCAGGCAATACATGCTGTGAAAATTTCGCATAAATGTGACATTAACACATCCTTACCCTTCTAGAGCAGAATTGGATATATTCCATCCGGCCTCGGAGATTTGTATACCTTAAATTTGTTGATAGCCCAACAAATCCTGTGTGGTCTTGTGATCTTCGACGCCAGCTTCCAGTCTATTGGAGTTGGTCTGATCCCTTTGTGACTGTAGTTCCCTTGCTCTTCTGAATCTAGTCCTGTTAGGATATTTGAGGTTGGAAATTGCACCTGAGTTAGTTAAACGTTCCTCTAGTGTTGTGGTGTAGGTATCATCCTATTTTTTGAGGAATCCTACTTGACTGGATGTACTGTCTTTGGCTATAACTCTATGGATTCTAGCGCTGGCGGTGGTCTCTGAGACCTCTTCTTCCATGAGTTTCTTTTAGCCTTGAATATTTCCTTGTCATACTCTGTGAGCTTATTTTTATAAGAAGTCCAGTCTTGTGTGGATTTGGCTCTGTTGAATAGTCTTTGCACCTCGCTTCTCAGGCTATCTAAGTGTTCATTCCACCAGACTGTTTTTCTCGTTTAGCATCTCTCTTTTTCGGGACAGTGTTCTTGGTAGGCATCAGTAATTACTTTATTTACCAAGTCCACTGTCGTTTAGAGTGTTTTTGTTTCTCGTACATTGGTGGTTTCCTCCTAGAGAGATTCCTCGAGAAATTTTTTGTATTCTTCCCAATTCGTTTTTCTTAAATTTCTTAACCTGCCTGCTGTACGAGTATATGGAATCAGATATGTCTGAACAAGATGGTTCATCGGACATATGCCAGTCCCTGATTTGGTCATTTGTGCCTCTTGAACCTACAACTTCTTTTCGGTTGGCAGTGACAAAAGTTGGTTTGTTGTCTTTATTAGCAATTTCTAACCCTTCACCTAGAATTAATTGTTATAGTGATAGTTATAGTGCATTCGCATCGCATCCTATTATGGGGCTGAATTTCTGCTCCTCGCAATGGGCAATGATTCTGCCTAGTATGGCTGGGAAGTAGAAAAAGTAGACGAAATATACAACATAGCTATTCTCTTCCTGTTTCATTTGGATTGATAGCATAGCTGTAACAAAATCACCAGTGCAAAGCACCGGTATTAGTGTACAATTAACTCTGTGGCTGTAGATTATACAAGCGCGGGGTTTTTCGTTTCCTTTGTTGCACAATAGCTTACCTTGTTGCGGTTTAAGTCCCGCGACTTTTCCACAAACAAGCCAAGGTTCCTGTAAAAGAGCTATATCCAGGCCTTCCATATCGAACGTCTTACATATTATGGCAGACGCTGTCTTAGCGTGGTTGAAATTCATCTGCAGGAGATTTTTGCCCCTGTGTGGCTCGTTGAAAGCGTCTTGAAATCTGCCCTCTATTGGGGAAGCCGACTTGGGGATTTGTGGCCTTTTTAGAGGGTTCCCGTCACTTTTAATAAAGGGGTCTTTGGTTGACTTCTTGCCTTCTTTGCAATGGCGACGTTCGTTCTTTAGGCGGCTGGCTTTCTAGGGTCTGGTGCTTTTTGTTCTATTTTTGGCCATGACGTTTTGCACCATCGGCTTTGTTTTGGAGCATTTTTGGACCGGTTTGTCCCTGTTTCTCTCCTTTTCTTCATGTTTTATTTCTTTGAGACAACTTCATACGTCCAATTTCAAAGTATGTTGATGTCTAGCTTCTGGAATTCGGTATATGACCCTTCGTCTACGGAGATGGCCCAAGTTTTGCCTTTCTCCATTGGAGTTGGGGTCAGAACCTTCCAGAGGTTGATTTTAAGGGTGTTCTTGCTAACCCTCAGTCTGTTAAGGACTCTTTGGGCATCTAGCCTCTTTCTACCCTTTTTATAAACTATTATTTATAAATTATTTTTTATAAACTGTTCTTTATAAACTATTTTTTACAAATATTTTGTATTATAACAAGATGGCGTTGTTATTCTTATGATAGATGTGCATTTCCTTAATGCCTGGGTTTGATCGAAGGTGGCTTGAACACTGAGCCAATCTAGAAAATGCTTTGTCTCAATTCAATAATACATTATCAAATTTAAACACTACTACTTAAGTATAGTAATCATCTCGAAATTATTCATTTTCATCTACTTTTCTCACAGTAATTTTATAAATTAGAACATGACTTACATACTAATATAATCTTATTTCAGGTACAACAAGCTTCTACGTAATGACATCTCTAAAACCTGAATACAACAACAAGATCAAAGCTCATATCAGTTTAGCTCCAATCGCTTACATGAATCATTTATTCAGTCCATTGCTTAGAATTGTATCACTTGGTACATTACCACTAGACGTCTTGTTCCAAATGGTTGGACAATATGAATTTATGCCCAGCTCAGGATTTTTAAACTTTTTGACAGACGCTGTGTGCTCAGAAGGCGTTGGAAAGGTATTATTATTAGGTGTTTTTTTATAGGTACAGTAAGAAATGTTTTGTTAGTAAGAAAATTTTGTAGGTACTTGTATGGGTACTAGAGAAAATTGTTATTATTGCATTTTAATGTTTTAGATATTGATATTGTGGATTGTAGATTTGTATACTCTAATTCAGTTTTATTATTTGTTAATAAATACAATATTCTTATTACAAATAATTTATTTTTAAATATTTTTAGGTACTCTGCAAGAACGTTCTTTTCGCAATGGCTGGCTTCAGCCCGAAACAAATGAACGTTTCTTCTATACCGTTGTTGATGGCTCACTATTCAGCAGGAGCTGCAACCAAACAAGTGGTCCACTACGGTCAAGAAGTGAACAGCGGTAAATTCGAACAGTTTGACTACGGAGCATATAGAAATTACAAAATATATGGCAGTATCTTCCCACCTGATTATGATTTATCTAAAATCACTGCTCCTATGTACCTTATATACAGTTCTAATGATTGGTTGGCGGCAAATGTCGACGTAGAAAAACTTTACAGCCAGTTACCTAATGGTAAAGAGTTGTACAATATTCCTATTCAGACATGGAATCATTTGGATTTTCTTTTCGGAAATAATGCCACTGAAATGGTTTATGATAAAATTGTACAAATTCTTTCTAATTATTAGGATGTTTATTTTGTTTTAAGCAAATTGAAGAGGCAAAGAAACTAAGTAATAAATTCACAAATTTAAGACAAAAAATTAGTTTTATTATTTTTACGCGCCATCTTATTTTAATTCACATAAGCTTAGAAATTATATGGAATTCAGAACTTTTGAGGAGATAGTATTTACAGGCACATAACCAGAACAAATTTGATTTTGGAACTTGGTACCTTTGATTCCTCTACGTTTCAATTGATGAAGTAAATATTTTAAATTATGTAATAAATATCAGTTTGGAATGAGTAATAAAATTGTTTTTTTTTTTTATATTTAAATCGTTATTATTTATTTTTGCATATTGAACTATAATCCATCCAAGCTATTTTGATAATTAAGATTATCATCAGTAGAGGAACTGGTTAATATAATCTATTAAAATGTGAAAAGAAATGACATAACGGGCACGATTATTATGTTTATTAAAGCATTAAGCATAATAAATTTAGATTATTTAGGTAAATAGAATTATCAGTCCAACGCTGGTTAGCTTAGAATTTTTGAGGTTATTGCGTAATTCAAGTTACCATCACGGGAACACTGACTTTAAAACCTATTGGACAAACGTGTCAAGCAAACTACAGGCAGTATTGTCAATTGGGGTGAAGTCGGACAATATTTTGCGTTTTTTTAAGATACTGCAATCAATTTTACCTCCAAAATTATCCAAAAATTCATTAAGTTAGATCTGGGCACTACTAACGATATGGGCTATTTATAGTTTGCAAAAAAAATCAAGAACATATTTTTTTTGTGAAAAATGAGTGTCCAACTTTCCCCGCAAAATGGGATGAAGTTGGAACTGGCTCTAAATGTACATAAAACCAACTACCGAAGACTATATAAGCAGAGTTGGAGAAAGAAAAAGCATTTTTAAAAAATATAACACTAATTTAAACACTTAAAAAAATAAAAATGCTGTTAAGAGTACAAATATTTTATTCTAAATGAAACAAAACTTGAAAATATTTTTTTTTGTAGTGTGAATCTAATATTTGGATATAAATTGCCTCTTTTGGTATTTGAAATAGAATACAAAATTACTTTTTAGAAAATTATATTTCAACTTCAGATTGACAACTTACAACCTTGATCAAATTAACATTCAAATAAAAAATAATATACTGAATGTTAAAATGTCATTGACTTTTTTCAACACTCCCTCCTTTAACATTCAGCATACTAGCTAAAAAATGAAATTTATTCTTCGGTAGCGACTTCGTAAATAGATCTGCTAGTTGTAGATCAGTGTTTATGTATTCCACATTTATATACTTCCCAAGTGCATCTTTGATGAAGTGATATTTAACATCAATATGTTTTGTTCGTTTTTGAGCGGTTTCATCATTAACCATTCTGATTGCACTTTGATTATCAATTTTTAATTTTATAGGACCTTCTAGTAACCTAAGTTCTTTAGCTAAATTGGACATTACAATTACTTCTTTGATAGCCTCGGAAGATGCAACGTACTCAGCTTCTGCAGTTGATAGTGCTGTTACTGATTGTCTTCCCGAGAACCAATCAATAGCAGTTTTACCGAAGGTTAAGACGAATCCAGAAGTAGATTTTCTAGTTTTGGTATCCCCAGCAAAATCTGAGTCACTATAGGCTGTGAAGAGATCTCCCTCCAAATTTGTGTCGAATTTTAATGTAAAATTCCTTGAACCTTGTAAATAGCGTAAGATTCTCTTGACTCCCTCCCAGTGAATACTTTTAGGATTTTCCATGAACCTGCTCAATTGATTGGTAGCAAAAGATATATCTGGCCTGGTGACTGATGCTAAAAATAGTAGATTTCCTATGGCCTCCCTGTATGGTACTTTAATGCTTTTGCTTGGTTCATTTAGATCTTGTGTAGGTCCTGGTGTGGATACAGGATTGCAATTTTCCATGTTAAATTTTGTTAAAATCTTTTGAATATAATTCTGTTGGCTGATTGAAATAGATCCATTTAGTTCTCTTTTAATCTCCATGCCCAAGAATCTTTCTAGCGGTTCCTTTTTAATTTCAATCTTCTTTTCTAAGTAGTTTAATAACTCTTTAATGTCTGTAACATTTCTTGAGGCAATAATACCATCATCTACATATATTACTAAAACTAGTTTGTCAGGTCCATGTTTTACAAATACGCATGGATCTGATAGTGTCTGATGTAGGTTAAAATCATTTAAAATATTTACAAATTTTTGATTCCAACAGCGGGGAGCCTGTTTTAGTCCATATAGACTACGTTTAAGTAGACATACTTTTTCAGAGTTGTCTTCAAAACCAACTGGTTGTTGCATATATATTTCCTCTTCTAAGTCTCCATTTAGGAAGGCCGTTTTCACATCGAACTGAGCTAAATTTAGATTCTCATGTGCAGCCATTCCTAGTACCATTCTTATAGATTTGTATTGGGCTACTGGACTGAAAGTGTGTGTAATCTCGGCCATATTTTTGTGAATATCCCTTCGCTACTAACCGTGCCTTATAGATACCACCACATTTCTTCCTGAAGACCCACTTGTTGGTTATGATATTTCGACCAGGAGGTAAATCCACCAAGATCCAGGTTTGGTTTTTGTGCAAAGCATTTAATTCTTCTTCCATGGCCTTTTTCCAGTTTTTATCTTGAATTGCTTCGTTGTAATCAAAATTTTCTTTTTCTGCCAAATAGCAAACATAATCATTTAGTTTTCTAGGTTTATTAATATATCTTCGGTCTCGTAGTTCTCTAGACTCAGAAGAAGTTTCTTCTGAAATATCTTCCTCGTCAAAAATTTCGTTTGGTTGAATTTTTTCATTTTCTTGCAAATTGTTGGTTGCTTCTCCCTCCTTTTCTTCAAATATGGTATTAGTTGAACTGGTAACTGCTGGTATGACTTCTTTCTTAAAAATAATATCTCGAAAAATATCTACTGAATGTTTTTCTGGTAAGTAAATTCTATAACCTTTTGTTACATCTGAGTAACCAACAAATATTCCTTTTATGCTCTTTGCATCAAGTTTTTGACGTTTTTCTTTTGGTATGTGAACATATACATCACTACCAAACACCTGAAAATGGTCAATTGTTGGTTTCTTACCATAATAAAGTTCAAAAGGTGTAATTCCATCTACCGAACTTGTGCCTGTACGATTTATGACATAAGCAGCTGAGTTTATGGCTTCAGCCCAGAACATTTTTTCTATTTTCCTATCAGAAAGTAATGATCTAGCTGCCTCAACTAATGTTCTCATCTCACGTTCAGCTGATCCATTTTGTTCAGGTGTATAAACCACAGTTAGTTCATGTTTTATACCATATTTTGCCAGCAAATTATTTAAAGCTTTATTATTAATTTCTCTTCCATTGTCTGACCGCATTTTAAGGATTCTCTTCCCAGTTTCATTCTTGAAACGTGGTATATAATCTTTAATACATCCGAATACTTCATCTTTTGTTTTAATAAAATATATTTTACGCAGGTGGGAAAAATCATCTTTTAGGAGCAAAAAGTAACGAGATCCTGCAATGGATGGTTCTTCCATGGGTCCGCAAACGTCCATATGTATTAGCTCACCAATTTTGGAACTCTTTGATGATGATGAAGTAAACGGTTGTCTATGCTGCTTGCCCATGATGCAGGCTTCACACTGAAGATTGACATTATTTTCAAAGAATATGCCAAAATTTCTTAAAATGTATGTACAGTGTTGAATATTTTGATGTGCTAATTTTTGGTGGCATTTCATCAGCGAGTTGTCTTTAACTTTAACAAAATTAGCAATTGGCTCTTCTTCTTTAATTACAAATAGTAATTTAAACAAATTACATTCTCGCCTTCCGGTGACAAATAGCTTTCTATCTTTTCTTATTTCACATGTGGTTTTTTCAGTTTTTATTGTATACCCTTTATCAACAACGGCAGCTGCAGAGAACAGGTTCTACTTAATTTCAGGAATAAATAAAACATTTGATAAATGACAATTTATGACGTCGTTATTTGACTGAATGATTATTGGTATAGTACCTTCACCAATTGCTTGTATTGCAGTTCCGTCACCATTTTGACTTTTTTCGGTGTGTCAAATTTTATGAAATTTTTGAACCATTCGAAATGTGATGTCATATGATGTGAGGCACCACTATCTAAATACCATTCTGTTGAATGCGTTTCTTCATTTTCATTGATCATCTACGCATGTGAAAAATGGCCATCGGCAAAGGTATTGTTTGATTTATTTTTATTTAAACGAAACCAACATTCGTTTTTCCAATGCCCTTTTTTCTTGCAGTAGTGACACCAACTTCCTGATTTTCTGTAAGTTTTATTTTCTTCATTTCTGGAACTACTATCGTTTTTAATTTTATTTTCTTTATTATATCCTTTCCAATTATTTTGTTTTGCTGCCAACGCCACATCTACATTTTCTTGAGAGCTACTTCGAATTTTTATTCTTTCTTCCTCGATTAATAAACGTGTAGTCAAGCAATTTAGCGTTTTTTTCATTTGCACTATCCCAAGCAGAATAAAAATATTTGAATTCTTCAGGTAATGTCATTAATATTTTGTTTATTAACATATTTTCTGTGATTTCCTCACCACAGGATCTTAGCTCGTGACTTAAGTTTTCTAATTTAGCTATATGCTGAGCTACCCCATTACCTTCATATATATATGCAAAAAATTGCTGTTGAAGCATATGAAGATTTGCTTGAGTTGTTCTTCCAAATAAGGCTTGAATTCTTATCCACATTTCATTTGAAGAACGACAAGCTACCAAATGGGTAATAATTTTTTCATGGACTGATAAGATAATAGCCTTTTGAGCTTTGAGGTCATCCTTCTCCCAAGTCTTCTTGTTAACTTCCGTTTCGCCTCTTGGTCTGGTATTTTCGACGATATCGTAGATACCTTCAGACTTCAACAGAATTGTTAATTGGAACTTCCACGATTGATAATTAGATCCACTTCCTTCCAGTTTGATCTTATTTCCACAATCCCAACTCAAACTGTTACTTAAATTA